GATTCTCATGGGTGACTTTAATTTTCCTGATATCTGCTGGGAGAGCAATACAGCGGTGCATAGACAATCCAGGAAGTTTTTGGAAAGCGTAGGGGACAATTTCCTGGCGCAAGTGCTCGAGGAGCCAACTAGGGGGGCGCTTTTCTTGACCTGCTGCTCACAAACCGGGTAGAATTAGTGGGGGAAGCAAAAGTGGATGGGAATCTGGGGGGCAGTGACCATGAGTTGGTTGAGTTCAGGATCCTGACACAGGGAAGAAAGGTAAGCAGCACGATACGGACCCTGGACTTCAGGAAAGCAGACTTCGACTCCCTCAGGGAACGGATGGCCAGGATCCCCTGGGGGACTAACTTGAAGGGGAAAGGAGTCCAGGAGAGCTGGCTGTATTTCAAGGAATCCCTGTTGAGGTTACAGGGACAAACCATCCCGATGAGTCGAAAGAATAGTAAATATGGCAGGCGACCAGCTTGGCTTAATGGTGAAATCTTAGCGGATCTTAAACATAAAAAAGAAGCTTACAAGAAGTGGAAGGTTGGACATATGACCAGGGAAGAGTATAAAAATATTGCTAGGGCATGTAGGAATGTTATCAGGAGGGCCAAATCGCACCTGGAGCTGCAGCTAGCCAGAGATGTCAAGAGTAACAAGAAGGGTTTCTTCAGGTATGTTGGCAACAAGAAGAAAGCCAAGGAATGTGTGGGCCCCTTACTGAATGAGGGAGGCAAACTAGTGACAGAGGATGTGGAAAAAGCTAATGTACTCAATGCTTTTTTTGCCTCTGTTTTCACTAACAAGGTCAGCTCCCAGACTGCTACGCTGGGCATCACAAAATGGGGAAGAGATGGCCAGCCCTCTGTGGAGATAGAGGTGGTTAGGGACTTTTTAGAAAAGCTGGACGTGCACAAGTCCATGGGGCCGGACGAGTTGCACCCGAGAGTGCTGAAGGAACTGGCGGCTGTGATTGCAGAGCCATTGGCCATTATCTTTGAAAACTCGTGGCGAACCGGGGAAGTCCCGGATGACTGGAAAAAGGCTAATGTAGTGCCAATCTTTAAAAAAGGGAAGAAGGAGGATCCTGGGAACTACAGGCCAGTCAGCCTCACTTCAGTCCCTGGAAAAATCATGGAGCAGGTCCTCAAAGAATCAATCCTGAAGCACTTACATGAGAGGAAAGTGATCAGGAACAGCCAGCATGGATTCACCAAGGGAAGGTCATGCCTGACTAATCTAATCGCCTTCTATGATGAGATTACTGGTTCTGTGGATGAAGGGAAAGCAGTGGATGTATTGTTTCTTGACTTTAGCAAAGCTTTTGACACGGTCTCCCACAGTATTCTTGTCAGCAAGTTAAGGAAGTATGGGCTGGATGAATGCACTACAAGGTGGGTAGAAAGCTGGCTAGATTGTCGGGCTCAACGGGTAGTGATCAATGGCTCCATGTCTAGTTGGCAGCCGGTATCAAGTGGTGTGCCCCAAGGGTCGGTCCTGGGGCCGGTTTTGTTCAATATCTTCATAAATGATCTGGAGGATGGTGTGGATTGCACTCTCAGCAAATTTGCGGATGATACTAAACTGGGAGGAGTGGTAGATACGCTGGAGGGGAGGGATAGGATACAGAAGGACCTAGACAAATTGGAGGATTGGGCCAAAAGAAATCTGATGAGGTTCAATAAGGATAAGTGCAGGGTCCTGCACTTAGGACGGAAGAACCCAATGCACAGCTACAGACTAGGGACCGAATGTCTAGGCAGCAGTTCTGCGGAAAAGGACCTAGGGGTGACAGTGGACGAGAAGCTGGATATGAGTCAGCAGTGTGCCCTTGTTGCCAAGAAGGCCAATGGCATTTTGGGATGTATAAGTAGGGGCATAGCGAGCAGATCGAGGGACGTGATCGTTCCCCTCTATTCGACATTGGTGAGGCCTCATCTGGAGTACTGTGTCCAGTTTTGGGCCCCACACTTCAAGAAGGATGTGGATAAATTGGAGAGAGTCCAGCGAAGGGCAACAAAAATGATTAGGGGTCTGGAACATATGAGTTATGAGGAGAGGCTGAGGGAGCTGGGATTGTTTAGCCTGCAGAAGAGAAGAATGAGGGGGGATTTGATAGCTGTTTTCAACTACCTGAAAGGGGGTTCCAAAGAGGATGGCTCTAGACTGTTCTCAATGGTAGGAGATGACAGAACGAGGAGTAATGGTCTCAAGTTACAGTGGGGGAGGTTTAGATTGGATATTAGGAAAAACTTTTTCACTAAGAGGGTAGTGAAACACTGGAATGCGTTACCTAGGGAGGTGGTAGAATCTCCTTCCTTAGAGGTTTTTAAGGTCAGGATTGACAAAGCCCTGGCTGGGATGATTTAACTGGGAATTGGTCCTGCTTTGAGCAGGGGGTTGGACTAGATGACCTTCTGGGGTCCCTTCCAACCCTGATATTCTATGATTCTATGATTCTATGACTTGTAGGCTCCGAAGTTTTACACTGTTTTGTTTTTGAGTGCAGTCATGTAACAAAAATAATCTACATTTGTAAGCTGAATTTTCATGACAGAGATTGCACTGCAGTACTTATATGAGAGGAACTGAAAAATACTATTTATTATCATTTTTACAGCGCAAATATTTATAATCAAAAATATACACTTTGATTTCAGTTACAACATAGAATACAATATATATGAAAATGTACAAAAACATCCAAAATATTTAATAAATTTGAATTGGTATTCTATTGTTTAACAGTGTGATTAAAACTGCGATTAATCACAATTAATTTTTTTGAGTTAATCGTGTGAGTTAACTGCGATTAATCGACAGCCCTAATTATTACATAAAAACCTCAGGTCCACCACAGTTTGCATGAGAAAACAGTAAATTATTAACCTTTACATACTGTAATTAGATAGAAATTAAATTAAGAAATCGACAAATATGTAGGATTGACTGCTCAGTGACACAGCCAAAGAACTCTACAGTTCTATTACCCGGTTCCACTGCAAAGAACCTGCTCTTGTTGGAGGTAAAAACTAGTAAATCTGATCTTACCTACAACAAGAGTATGGATGTAAATCATGTACACGTGTTAGCCTTGAGCATATTGTGCTTTCATCCAAAACAAACTCCTGGCTGTGTAACAGGTACCACTGGGGCCAAATCCCAAGGTCTTGGCTCTGTTTTCATTCAGTTCTTACAAAAGCAAAACTCTCACTGATATCAATAGGAGTTTGCTGGAGTGCATGCCAAGTAAGAACCTCTCCCATCCTTGAGAACAAAAAAGACTGACAATTCATTAAAATTTTAATATGTTCTTGTATTTTAAACAGATTTTACAAATAGCATTTATAACAAGAAGATACTTGTCACAGCATACATCTCTTTGACTTAGATTTAGTACCAACACACTGAAGCTGGCTCAGGGTTATTTACCAGCATTCATAAGCTGCTTAGCACTGCCTTATCTAAGCAGCATAAAAGTATTAAAAATGCAGTTAAGAGCTGCCTAGGGCAATAAGTACTCCAACTTAAACTAGATGTTCTCAAATCTCCTCCCTTGAGCATGATGTCATGTCTCTGTTCTGCTTGATCTTGAGCTGCTAGTTTTGAGTACATCACAAACTTTTCTATTGTTCTGGTTTTAGAGGGGTTATATTGCAAAGAGATGTGCCTTGCAGTGTAACCTGGAGCTGGCATTCTCTGATCTCCTTTAAGTGGGTGTCTTACAGTCCTGGACCTGAGGTGAAGAAGGCTTTGCCTTCTACTTTCTCAAATCTGTATCAAAGTTCTGATAACTGGTGAGGGGTAGCTATAGTGTAAGGTTCCTGAACAAGAAGCAGTCTGAGTTAACCTGGGTGTAGCCTACTGAGGATTTTATACATTAGAACAATGAATTAGACCCAGTAGTGCACAGAGTGCCAGGACAGGTTATGGAGCACTGGCATAGGACCTTTGGCTGCATCTACACGAGCATTTTTCAAGAGATCTCATTCCATTGCACTACTTCCAGTGTACCTCAGAGCAGGTAGAAATGAGTGACAAAAATACCTGCAGATGGTTTATAGAGTTACTAGTGGTGAAACTGTAACAGTGGTAGTAAAATGGAGAATGATTTCCTGAAGAATGCTAGTAACATAAAACTTCAGAGAAGAGCCACCAAATTGTGTACTACCTGCAACTTTTGTCACTCTCATGTCCATGTTGAGAAAGAATTACAGTACTTTCGCCTGGATCGGTAAAATGTTCATAAGTGCCTAAGTGGAACTTAATTCCCATTTTCAATGAAAATGAATGATGCCTAAGTTGCTTATAAAAATGTTTATCTGAGATGATTAACACATGAACCACTACAGCCAAGTTTTCTTCTGAGAGGAGTGAACAGAATCTGGGTAATGGCTGGAATTAGCAGCTTCAATATCATCATTTAACATCCTTCAGCAGCCTTACAATTCCAAAGAAAAAAATAAGCTGACAAAAAGAGATGAATGATGCTGTCACACAGTGAGTTGTACCTGCTATGGATTAAAGCTCAGTATCTTGCCTGCATTTGAGTCAAATAACTAAGGATCATATAACAGCAAACTGGAAGCAGATTTTTAAAGCCAGAAGTGACCATTACGATCATCTACTGTTACTGCCTAAACTGCTATTCCCAGGCTGCCGTCATAAAACCCTTGGTCAGGGCAGAATTTTGTTTTATAGCAATACGCAAACGTAAATGGAAGGTTGCTAAGTAAATGCCAATGCCCTCATCTGTTCTCCCTTCAATCTTTTCACCTCCGCCTCTCCTACATTCTTCAGCAGAATAGTTATAATCAGCTATGATCAAACAATCTTATAGACAAAAGAAAATTTGACCAAACCATGTAGTTCATGAAGAATAATCTGAACAGAGATTCAGAAACTGTTTAGAATTGTTAGATTGACAAGAATACTATTCAATCTTTATTTTTATTTTAAATGTTGAATTTTTAAAATTATGAAGGTATTAGTTGAATTATCTCATTGCTCACCTTAAGAGACCAAACTTCTTCCTCTTGTATGGCAGAAACAGGCTGTTTCTGGAGCAATGGATTATCTTCACAGTAAAGTTCCATCAGCATAAGGTCCTCCATCTATTTGAATAAAATAAATAGTGTAATTATGTCAGAAAAGATAACAAAAATCTCAAATGCTATTTTTATTTAAATAAGGAAAACAAATTAACAAATATGAATGTAAAGAAAGCAGGAGATATACTCATCTGCTGGAAAAAAACATACAAGATTTAAGTGAAATACATATGCCATTATTCTTGCTAATAAATAATATAAAAATGTAAATCAGACAAGACTGGTTGTTCTACAAGAGAGATCTTGTGCCTAGAGTATTATTTAAAATCACATGATAGTTACAGATTATCAAAATCTCTGCATTTAACACAGTGGAAACTATTAAAATAATGATTAAAAAACCTGTCCTCTATTGTTAAACAGGAATGATTTTCTCCACATGCATTTAATTCTGACGCTCCCGTATTCAACTCTGCAATCCCAGTGGAATACCCTCTCAAGGTAAAGAGGGAAGTGAAAGGCTTGGAGTGTGACTGAGGTCACGTATAGTGTAATGATCATTTTATAATAAAGTAACTGCCTATTAAATAGAGAGATCTGTATAAAGTTTCTCTAAGCAAAAGTTTGCTATTGTAATGATTATTGTTGGGTCTCTGCTATTTATTTATATAGCAAGAATTTATTCATTTTTTAAAAAAATTCTAAATAAATATTTAAAAAATGAAATGAGACTGGACAAATTATTCCCATATATACTATTCAGAAGTGGTCCAGGATTCTAAGAAAGCCTAAGTGAAATAGGCTTAATCAAACACGGAAACTTAAGTTCACTGTTCACTTGTTTTACGGTATGCCTAACAAATTCTTGTTTCTGAAGTATACAGTGCTGTGGAAAAATGCATGGAGGACAATAAAAGCACGACATAATTTAACTCACTGTATAAGGAAAACACGTAAAACTAAAGATTCTGTTTCTGGCTCCCTCACCAACAAAATGGAACAATCTGCTAATCTTATATTTTTTAAAAAAAAAATTGTACTGCTCTTATCTCTCTAATTCATTTTGTCCAGTAAAATAGAACAGCGGGTACACAAATACTTCTCTTGAATCATAGTTGGAACATATAATAGGCACACTGGAATAATGCACATAACAATCTGTTCCCTCAGTTAATAGCTTCAAGGACAATTTAATAGAGTATCTGAAAGTCTATTATAAGATCAGTGGTACTCATTCTTGTTTCCTTTTCTAAGAGTAATGACTTTATTTTAAGAAAAATATAACGTCTTATTTCAGGGCAAGCCTTATTTTGAACAAGACTTGTTACAAATGATCTAGCAAATGAATAGTCAAAACAGATATGATTTTCTGATTTAAGGATATTTACTTTCTATATTTTGATACGTGGTGTTGATAATTTGTGTTTTAACAATTTATAAAGCTTTTAACTTTTTTAATCTCAATGTCTATTATCAGTAAATAAATGTCTGAACCCCCTATTTTCCTGCAACTGTGAAAATTTAAATTGATAAAAATCAGTATCATCCATTAATTTTTTAAAGAAAAAAAAACAAATTCTGCCAAGCCTACATATAAAGTACAGGCATTTAAGAACAAGTTGTCTGCAAGGGGTCTTAATTTGGGACAATTTGTAGATATCCCAGAACAAAGGAAGCTTACTAAAAACACAGCCACCGAAAACGGTGCTGAAATGGTTTAGGTCAGGATTTTTCAAACTGGAGTCCGCGGGCTCCGTTGATCAACTCCTCCCTCCCTCAACTCCTTACCCTCCCTCCCAGTGCCTCCTGCACACCACGGAACAGTTGTTCAGCGGTGTGCAGGAGGCACTGGGAGGGCCAGGGGAGTGGGGATGGGGCGTGCTCAGGGGAAGAGGCAGAAAGAGGTGGGGAAGAGGAGGGGCAGGAATGGAGCAGGAGCAGGAAGAGGTGGGGTGGGACCTTGGGGGAAGGGGTGGAATGGAGGCAGGGCCTGAGGTGGAGTGTGGGGCTTGGGGGGTCCTCGAAAAAATGTAAATCAAAATGGGGGTCCTCTGGTTGCTAAAGTTTGAGAACCGCTGGTTTAGGTATTTCATTAAAATCAATAATCATTGTCAGAGAAACTTTAGAAGAAACGTTCTACAAAGCTGAAAAATTGAGTTCTACTCCAGTGACTACTGAACAAAAATCCAGAGAAGGACAATTATGAAAACATGAACAAAATTATGCAAATACTTAGATTTTGGACAATAAACCCTTTTGGAACTATCTTGCTATATAAAAGATAATTAGAAAAGTTGAAGTACTGAAAGTTGCAAATGTCCTACATTAATAAACACTGTATACACTGACATGAGAATTATGGCTCACCAAGTAAACCTAGAGGAAAGCTAAACAATCTCCCTCTTGGCCAAAACTATTTCTGGGCAAAGACTCTTTTAATGGGTTTTTGTAGTCAAATAAACGTATAGAAGAGAAAAGATTCAACATTTCTCCCAGTGGGATAAAAAGGCACTTTCTAGAGTTTTGTCTTTGTTTTCTTACATAGAAAACAAAAGGCTGTCAGGTTTCTGTTCTGCTATACAGAAAACAGACCTATCTCTTGTGTTGCATTTTGAAATAGATATAGAGATAGACTGAACATGGATAATGAGAAAAGGGGAAGACTTCCCTCAAAACTGCTGGAATTCATCAACATTTCAATCATTAGATACTTATTATTTTACCTTTTTCCCACTTGCTCCATTAATAAATAAAGCTTTTCTATCTTATTTTGCTGCATTAGAATTATACTACCAGAACACAGATGTCACCAAGTCTGATCTCATATCACGTGACGTAATGGGAATCCCTCTTGAATTCCAGGGATAGAACTCTGACAAGCACAGCTGAAACAGCTCTATCTTTCTTGGCGATTTTAGAGCCATTCAAATTTCAATTTGGCATGAGAAAACAAGAACAGCTCATCTGTGTATCTGTTAAAATAAACTGCATACTCTGATCACATGTGGTCCCATAGAGCCTAGCAAACCATCATGATTCAGGTTATATAGAGTAGTAGTTCTCAACTCAACTACTACCAGGGCCCCTAAGGGGGCCTTGAGCAGGTTTCAGGGGGGCCTCCAAGCAGACCCAGCATTAGATTCGCTGGGGCCCAGGGCAGAAAGCCAAAGCCCCACCACATGGGGCTGAAGTCCAGGACCCTGAGCCCAATCACTCGGGGCTGAAGCTGAAGCCTGAACAATGTAGCTTTGTAGGGGCCCCTGTGGCATGGGGCCCCAGGAAATTGCCCTGCTTGCTACCCCTTAACAACGGCCCTGGCTTTTATATGCAGAAAACCAGTTACTGTGGCACAGGTGGGCCGTGCAGTTTTTATAGCATGGGGGGGGGGGCTCAGAAAGAAAAAGGTTGAGAACCTCTGATTATAGAGCATCTCCTCTTTTTAAGGGTTCCTAGTATGGGATTATTGTTTCCTCTGACACATCTCTTCTCAATTTCTTTATGAAAGTATACCCACAGGGGCTGAAGAACTTTGCTAAAGAGTCCTAAGACCTTGTCATAAAGTTTTGAAATGGATATTACCACAAAAAAGGAATGTTTATACACTAAAGATTTCTACCTATATATACTTACTTTGTTTAAAAGAAAACAAAAAGGCCTTGAAATATTCCAGATTAATTTTGCTGCTAATGTTTACGCTACAGCTTTATCAGAATTCCTTGTTCAGTTACATAAATTGTATCCGTGTAATAGAGGAAGAGCGCTACTTGTTGTTGCTAGGAGGGCTATCCTTGTTGCAGAAGTAATTTAGTCTGTGAATACTGTACTGAAAACGCTAACTGAAATGAGCCTCCTGCACCTAGTGCTGTCTTATAAAAAAAATGATTGCATCTAGTCACCCAAACTAAAACTGTTCAGACTCTTAAAATTAAGTTTAAATAGTCAGTAAATAATTTCCCTTAAAATAATATTTTTTCACGGAAGAGGATCACATTTACATTTTGAATTAACAATACAGAACCCCACCCTGAACCTTTTACTCCCCCTCTTTGCTCCATCCCTGTTTTTTCAAAGATCCTTAGCCAAGCTTCAACTTTGATGGATCAACCAAGACTCCAGAAACAGCAAAATGTGCAGCAGCCCTGAAGATTACCTGAGAGTTGTGGAAAAATATACTGAAGTATCTAAACGATTCTTGCAGCAGAGAACTCAGCTAGAGAGCAAAAACTAGAACTAAATCCATGATCATAGGCTAGATTGCTAAATGTTCACAAATTCAGATTACCAAAGGGTTGCTATTAAAATCAATCCAAAGAGGTGCGATAAAGGGCCAGATTGTTCCCAGCTGCTCTGCAGGTTAGCAAAATATGGGAAAAGGTATGAGAAGCCTCCTTGCCCGCTTGTGCAGCAGTTAGGCACAACTGCAATCCATGAACTGACTAAAACAAAGGAAATGTTCCGTCCTAGCACAAGCTACGCCAAAGGGTAAGGAGGAACTGGGATTATTGAGCTACCCTGACACCACTGGCCAATGAAACCTAGGCAGATAATGTAGAGTGGAATAGGCTGCATCCCTGAAAGGGGCATAGCACTAGGCACACTCCCTCCTGTTTGCCAGGGAACTCAATGCTATCAATCGCTACAAGTTACATAGGCTGCCCATATAATTCATTTAATAGATCTGCAGCAGAAATTTCATATTAGAGAATAACATATAGAAAATAATACTTACTGCTATTGGGAAAATCTGAATTTTGTTCCCTGCTACATCTAGAATTCTTAGTTTTCTCAATTTGCAAAGGCCCTAGATGGAAGGGGGGAAACAACGTAATAAAAATTAAAGAATATCAACAACAGTGAACGTGAAGTTAAAATCCCCATGAGACGAGAGAGCAGTCTCAGGCATCAGGAAGCAACAGTACTGACGAAGAGAAACTGAGTTAGCAGATAAAAGAGAAAACAGGAGGAAAACTGAAAATGAATTACAAAAGGGAAGAAGGTATCCATTCTTTTGGTATTATAAAAATAACACCTGCGTTTATCATTTAAAATTCCCATGGATCTCTTATCCCCCTCCCACACATCCTCCCTCGCACCTCATTCTGAATTATTTATAATACCAGTATCTTCTTCTCTACATCAAGGCTTTTCCTGTTTACCACACTGAGCAGCATGTGAATCCACACTTCTCAGACTCCTATCTCTAATTAAAAAAAAACTTTTAAATAGAGCTCCTTCACTTTCAGAATTACTATTGGTTTCCAGCCCTCAATATCTAACTCAGTTTTAATTTCTTAAGATAATTGCTTGCATCTGTGTGAATACACAGGATTTTAGTTTCTGCTGGTATTTTTTAAGTGTTTTCAATGACAACTCAAGCAGTAGCTGAAAGCAGCTGCCAAGATACAATGGTATTAACAAATGTTTTTAACATTTTCTTTTGTGGCAGCCATCTTCAATTCATTTTATTGATTGGCTTTTACAGATGACAAAGTGAATACAGAAATCAAAGACAAACATTGTGCAATGTACATCCAATACTCCAGTATTCTTTGTAACAAGACAAAGCAAATTCCATCACATACAAGCTTTAAATGTTCCACATTTTATTTCCTCCTCCTTGATGCACATACTGTTGATTGTCCTCTGGTGCTGAGCAAGGGGTAATAGAAAAAGTATTACAATTCCAATCAGAAACAATCTACTAGACACAGGCAGGATTAGTATATGCAATATTCCTGAGAACGTAAGATGAAGACCACTCACTTACTGACATTAATAATACAGCAATTTGTAACTAAAATGCTAGGCAAAAAATACATATTTATTTTGATTATTTTAAACTGACAGATGTCCTTTATCTTTTCTTCTAACTTGATAGGATGACAAATGAAAGCTAAGCACAAGTACAATAAATGCAAAATGAAATTTCTCAGTGGATATGCATTTAGGGCCAAATTTTCAAAAGGCAATGGGGCTTAGTGCATCTGCAAAGGGGGGCTTGAGTTAAGAGGAAAACCAGTATGTGAGGTTACTTTTCTTCTGTGGAAGCTGACTAGAATGAGCCAGAGTTTAGACTTTTAACATTTAATATCTAATGCATTTTAGACCTTTATTTAGATTTGACTAAAGCAAGCCCAGCCTTCCAACTCTGACTGAGAGAAATGCTGTTGTATGTATTGGACCCATAAAGAGGCAGAACAGTATTTACATTTATGTTTCTGTTTTATAATACACACACTATGAAGGTGTTTATACTCCACCTGTGCATGTAGAATCCTTTCCAGCTATAACAGAGCTACCACATATTCTCTTAAAGGCGTCACTTTGAGGAATCATGAAGCTAGCTGACATTGTCTATTTAAGTCTTTGCCTAGTATATGTCAAAACAATGAATACAATGAATTTGCATTATAAGTTGCTTCTGGTTCTTTATTGCTTCAGACTTTATGTAATGAGATTCCTTGCAGTCAGGGATGTTATTTCACTCTTTTTTACAATTACTTTCAAAACCTTTCTATCAATTCAGCCAGGACCACTATAGAGAAATGTGCCCTGAGATTTCAAGGGCACTAAACACCTGTATCTCTTCTTAATTCTCAAATGAGATTAGTGGAGCAACCACACATTGTTCGGCAAGCAACTAGTTAGTATGTTTCAAAGTATAGCCCTCTTTGTAGATTTTCTAGAATTAACAGGCTAATTTTCAAAAATGGTCTAACTCTGCATGCTTATGAAACCTAAATTGGTACATGCACATGGCATGTGTGAATAAATAAGGTAGCCAAGCATCTAATTCCCCTGCTCTGGGCATGAATATTTCAATTCTTGAGTTTCATAGAAGTTGCAAGGCCAAAACTAGGTGCACAAAGATAGAGAAGCTGAGTTGGGGCCCTTTGAAAATTTGACCCCTACTTGTCTAATTTAACTAATAAGGTTTTGGTCCTATTTTGAGAAATAACTAAACCAATCTATTAATCCTTATGAAATTTGAGATCTCCATATTCCTAAAGAAAACAGTATTTTAACAACATATCTCTAAGGGTGGGATTATCAAATGTGCCTTAGTCATAAAAGTCTGACATGTGCACCCAAATCACAAAGCCACTTTGGAAAATTCCACCCTTAAAGATGTGGTATTCAAATGCTTTCTTAAGATATCCATATTCACTGAAAAAGAAAACACTACCATTGAAAGCACAACATTACTCACGTCAGGGAGCACTCCTATTTGGTTTCTTGACAGGCACAGCATTCTGAGATTCGTCATGTATCCAATCTCTTCAGGTACTGTGATGAGACAATTGTGAGATAGATGGAGTTCAGAGAGCTTTTGCAAGGAACATAGCTCTTTGGGAACACTTTCCAGCTGGTTATTGTTTAAATTCATGTTTTCAAGATTTTCTAACCTGTAAAATTAATAAAGGATTTCAATGTACAGCCATGGTAGGCTACAATATGTATCAATTTATTTAAACTTTTACTGTAGAATTTGCTGTACATGGATTACTTCTATTTTTTATTATATACTTTTATATTGAGTAACATATTTATATAAACTGAACTCTATGCTGGCCAACTGTTAAGAGCTAACCCTAGTGGGTAATTGTTAAGGGTTTTCATACAATCACAGAATCATAGGACTGGAAGGGACCTCGAGAGGTCATCTAGTCCTGCACTTACGGCAGGACTAAGTACTATCTAGACCAGTGGTTCTCAAAGCTGGTCCACTGCTTGTTCAGGAAAAGCCCCTGGCTGGCCGGGCTGGTTTGTTTACCTGCCATGTCCGCAGGTTCGGCTGATCGCAGCTCCCACTGGCCGCGGTTTACCACTCCAGGTCAATGGGAGCTGCGGGAAGCGGTGGGGGCCAAGGGATGTGCTGGCCGCCCTTCCTGCAGCCCCCATTGGCCTGGAGCGGTGAACCGCGGCCAGCGGGAGCTGCGATCGGCCGAAGCTGCGGACGCGGCAGGTAAACAAACCAGCCCGGCCCGCCAGGGGCTTTCCCTGAACAAGCGGTGGACCGGCTTTGAGAACCACTGATCTAGACCATCCCTGACAGGTGTTTGTCTAACCTGCTCTTTAAAATCCCCAACACAGAGATTCCACAACCTCCCTAGGCGACTTATTCCAATGCTTAACTACCCTGACAGGACATTTTTCCTAATGTTCAACCTAAACCATCCTTGCTGCAATTTAAGACCAATGTTTCTTTTCCTATCCTCAGAAGTTAAGGAGAACAATTTACCTCCCTCCTCCTTGTAACAACCTTTTATGTACTTGAAAACTGTTATGTCTCCACACAGTCTTCTCTTCTCCAGACTAAACAAACCCAATTTTTTCAATCTTTCCTCATAGGTCATGTTTTCTAGACTTTTCATCATTTTTGTTGCTCTTCTCTGGACTTTCTCCCATTTGTACACATCTTTCCCAAAATGTTTTAAGTATGTTTTTAAAGTATCCATATGTATATAGTGATAACCACAAATTGTTTGCTCTTATTAAAGGCTCCAAAAACAAAGGAATTGGCCAGAGACATTAAAAGCATAGAAGAAATTGCAGTCTGAATTCCAAACATTTATTATTTTTTAAATCCACTCTTCTATTACTAATATATATTAAATAAACTACTTTGGGCTCTTCTACACTTACAGTGCTGCAGCTGTACTGCTGTAGCATTTAGTGAAGACGCTACCTATGCTGAGGGGAGAGCTTCTCCCGTCTGCTTAGGTACTCCAACTCCCCAAGGGGTGGCAGCTATGTCGAAGGACGAAGCCCTCCTGTTAACATAACGCTGTCTACACTAGGAGTTATGTCAGTATCCACACCCTGAGTGATGTAGTTACACCAACATAAATTTGTTGTGTAGACCAGGGCTTAGTGTGTTCACGAAACACACATGCTCATCCTGCAGCAGTCAATGAACAAGTCGTTGGAGGCAAGCTGGGGTTACAATGGGGTATGGCTGTTGAGGTACTGACAAGAAATTGTCCTAACAACAACGGGTGACCTATGAAAAATGAGTTAATGGTCTTGGTGGGCACCATGTGAAATGGCACCTTTATCAGCAGCCACAACAGGAAGGTCAAGTACCTTTCTCAACTGTGATCCTCCTAAAACACGCTTTTACACACTTTGTAGCAGAATCAGTAAGAGAAAGCTTGTACTGCTGCTGCTTGTGGTGTGTAACTATTCTATAAGTAAAGGGTTTCAATTTTCTGGTACTGTCCATCTGGCATCGCTCTCAAAATTAACATTTTTTTAAAAAGGAAAAAACATTTTCTCAGATCTACATTAAATGCGATGCTGAAACACAGTCAATTGTCGTGTTGACTTCAGCACTATTTGAAAGGTAGCACAAAACATATGCTCAATGGAAAAGTGCACAAGTGCTACAGAAAATATCATTTACGAGCAACTACAAACAATGAAAGAATTAAAAAATTATATTAAGAAGTAATCAATGACCTATTCATGTACAAGTACTCACAGTAAGATATCTAGTTTGGGATGTAAATATTATTTTAAAAAGTTAACTGTTTAAACTATTAAAATTATATTATTTAACCGGTTAACGGCTGGGGCTGGGGCTCCTCCCGCTGGCTGGCCAGCAGCTAAAGCTGGGGTTGCTCTGACTGGCTGACGGCTAGGGTTGGGGTCACTCCAGCTGGCCGCGACTGGGGCTGCTTCCGCCAACCGGCCGGCCCGGTGCAGCTGGGGCTGGGGCAGCTCCCGCCAGCCAGCCCGGTGCAGCTGGGGCAGCTCCTACCCACCCGCCTGCCGGGGTTGCTCTGGGGGGCCGGCGCAGCCAGAGCGACTCCCGCCGGCTGGACGGCGGCTGGGGTTGCTACCGCCAGCCAGTGGCTAACATCTGGGACTGGAGCTGCTCCAGCTGGCTGGGTGGGGTTGCTCCAGCCAGCCTACCAGCATGGCTGAGGTCACTCTGGCTGGCTGGCCGGCAACCCGCCAGCTGGCCAGCACAGCTAGGGTTAACAGCTAGGGTAGTTAACCAGTGAGACTAATGCTTACCGTTAACCATCCGTTTACTATTTTATTTATGGAACGGCTGCCGTATGATGAGAGATTAATAAGACCGGGACTTTTCGGCTTGCAAAAGAGATGCCTAAGGGGGGATATGATAGAGGTCTATAAAATCATGATTGGTGTGGAGAAAGTAAATAAGGCAGTGTTATTTACTCCTTCTCATAACACAAGAACTAGGGGCCACAAAATGAAATTAATATGCAGCAGGTTTCATACAAACAAAAGGAAGTATTTTTTCACACAATGCACAGTCAACCTGTGGAACTCCTTGCCAGAGGAGGTTGTGAAGGCCAAGCCTATAACAGAGTTCAAAAGAGAACTAGATAAATTCATGGAGGATAGGTCCATCAATGGCTATTAGCCAGAATAGGCAGGTATAGTGTCCATAGCCTCTGTTTGCCAGAAGCTAGGAACGGGCGACAGGGGATGGATCACTTGATGATTACCTGTTCTGTTCATTCCCTCTGGGGCACCTGGCATTGGGCACTGTCAGAAGACCAGATACTGGGCTAGATGGACCTTTAGTCTGACTCCGTACGATCTTAACGGTGCATAGAGCTTTATATAACCCAAACTTATATTTTCTTCCTCTTACTCCTCTTTCCAGTTATTTTTTTTTAAAAAAGATTCTATCACTAGATTCTTCCCATTTTGAGTACAAAACATGGAGCATTTTGCATTTGAAGGTACAAAAATCATTCATTACAAACTACATGTATGGGTCAGAAAAAGCAAACCAAGAAACTGAGGACAGGAAAATCAGACAAAAATGTCAGAATGTAATCATGATTATTTTAAAATCATTTGCTGCTTTTCTGATAAAATGGTTCTTAACATTTTCCAGTGTGAAAACATCTTGAGCCAAATTCAACATTGAAATCAATGGCATTACAACCAGGGATAAACATGGTCCTGTGTGTCTGAAACAGGGTATATTTTTAAAGGATAAGATTACTTGGGTAACTGAAATGTTAGAAAAGATTTTGTACTTTTCATTCCAACTTAATGTTATTCTGCTTGAACATACTGAACATTTTCTTCTATGCAGTTAAGACACTTTTGATGTGCTTACTTGGTAAAATAACTTCTGTTCAAAATGCACTGAAGAAAATATACACCACCACACTGGGAAGATCACAACATATTCACCCAACTACAGAACAGACAGGATGAACTTCTTGGTCAGAAAAACTTGACTAATTAGTGGCCAGAGGGGGCTTCATCCTCCACAATATTTATGAGATTAACCTTTTGTCTACAAAAGACCTCCTTCATCCTCTCCAGCTTCTCTGACATCCATAATATCCTTCAAGCCCATAAAAAAATCACAGTAGTTAGATCATCATCTTTGCCCCATCTAACTCATCCCCTGTCCTTGAATCCCTCGACCTCAAAGATTCATAGATTCTAAGGCCAGACAGGACCACTGTGTTCATCTGGTCTTGACCCCTTGTATACCACAGGCCACATAACTTCCCCAAAATAATTCCTAAAGCATATCTTTGCTTTCCTAAAGCACTGGTTTGTCCTTCCACATCACATCAAATTCAAGCTTCTCGTCCTTACCACTAAGACCCTGCACAACTCTTCTCCTGTGGCCACTCTTCATCTTGAGTTCAGCCCTCCTGAACTTCCACCCTTAGTCTGGGTTTTGGGGCTTTTGTTTTTGTGAAGACTGCAAACTCTCCAGGGAAGAAACCATGATGTCCTCCTATGCAGTACCTAGCCTAAGTGGCACAATCGCAATAATAGCATAACCCAGGTTGTGCTTTTTAATCTCACAAGCTAAATTTTTGCAATAATGTTAACAACTTTACACACTAAGGCTTTCTTGAAAAGTTCTTGCTATAAAAGACTGGGATAAAAATTAGAAAGAAATAGCATAGCTATACCTAGTTTCATTCGCTAACGCACAAGAAATGAGAAGTATATGGTAATAAGAAACAGTACACAGCTTCAATTTTGTAGTTCAGCATATTTTAAAAGATAACACACAAAAGCCAAACTGTTCAGAGAGAATATTTAAAAGATTGGCTTTAGTAGAATTGCTAGCTGGAAGGCCTGTGTGTAGGAACCAAGTCAGAACCGCAACTCTCAAAAGATCTACAAAAAAGTATTTTGAGACAATTATATTCCATTCCTGAGAATGAGGAGGAGTTCATAGTGCATCCCTTTCAAGAAAAGTATCAAAAAGGTAACCTGACTATGCAAGAGTGAGTATACAAGGGAAATGAGCACTTTAAAAACAAAAAACACCTACAATTTTTATTTCTTGGTGCTCAACTGTAAATGAAAACGTAGCAGAAACTTTCCCAACAGTTGAAATTAGTCGTTTGTCAAAATGATAACCATAGAAAAATACTGCATCTAATGTCCACAAAAACTGTACATGAGTATAACATGTACAATATACAGTCAACACAGAGTAAGCCACATAATAACCAAAATTACCTGTGTATTTCTGGAGGAAGATATTTAAGCTTGTTGTTGTTCAGATTGAGAAGTATCAATTTTTCTAATCCATCTGTTAAGAAATACATTCTTACCCAAATGCATATAAAATGTACAATTTTTATTCATCTTTACACTCACTCTCTCTTGGTTTTCTCCTTAGACATACACGTAATGACCCCCCTCTGGCAGGCTGACAATCTACTCTCTTTACTTTCCGTGCCTTGTAGAGTGCTTAAAAGGCAGGCATTTATAACAGGTGAATATCCTGTAAAATTACTAGATCATTTGACAGGTAAAGTTTAACTTCCCTAAATTAACATACAGATGCTGCAGACTTCAAGTATGCACAATTTATATTGAAGTCAATGGGAGCTTTGCATGTGGAAGGATTGTAAAATTATTAGGATTTTGTTATGGTGTGTGAATGACAAAAAATATTACAAAGACAAGGGTGGGTGAGGTAATATCTTTTATTGGACCAACTTCTGTTAGTGAGAGAGACAAGCTTTCGAGCTACACAGAGCTCTTCTTTAGGTCTGTCTGGGAAAGCTAGGCATGGTATCACAGCTAAATACAAGATCCTCTGAGCATACTCTGTGATATCTGAGTGCTTGGCTGTAAATAATAATTTTCTTGGTGTGTTTGTGGTTACTGCTGGACCTACGAAGGTAGGAGTGGTGATCCATAGGTCACATTGAAGGTGGTCACTCATGGGCCACCTTGAAGAAAAATTTCTGGACAAATGCACCATGAAACCAATGATATACCTGAGACACACTGATAATATTTTCATCCTCTCAACAAAAGATTTAAACTCCCTCATAGATTTCCACCACAACTTCAACAACCACCAGCCATCCATTAAACTCTCTCTGGAACACTTCCACATTAGCATCAACTACCTGGATACAACAATCAGCTTCAGAAACAGAACCCTGAAGACAGCTATGTACAAGAAAGCCACTGATCACCTCACACACCTTCATAGATCCAGTAACCACCCCAAACACACCCAAGAAATCCTTACCTACAACCAGAGACTCAGATACCACAGAATATGCTCTAAGAAGAAAGCCCAGAATATACATCTTAACACACACAAAACCGCCTTCACCAAACAAGGACACTCCACCAGAGAAGTTTCATAGAACAGGTCACCCAAATACCCCAAGAGAACTTGCTTCAATACAGAAATGAAACCCCTGCTGATCACACATCCCTAGCTGTCACTTACCACTCCACAATGGAAGCCATCCTGAGTATCAACAAACATCTACAACCCATACTCGATGGGGACCCCATCCTGAAATCTTTCCTGAACCCCATCTTCTGGCCTTCAAACAATGCCCCAATCTCTCCAAGATCATCATCAGAAACAAGCTCCCCACTGACCAAGACACACCAACTCAAAGCAGCATCAGACCCTGCAAGAACAGATGCAAAACCTGCAAACATATTTCCACTGCTATAACGATCAACAACACCTGTCATAACCATACAGCTAAAGGTAGCCTACAATTCCTCCTTACCTGTAAGGGATTAAGAAGCTCAAATAACCTGGTTGGCACCTGACCAAAAGGACCAATGGGGAAAGAAGATACTTTCAAATCTTGGGGGTGGGGAGGGGGCTTTGTTTTGGTATGTTCTCTTGGGCAGCAGAGAAGCATCAGCTCAGGAAACTCCTTCTCCTATAAAACCACCCTAAAAGTCTCTCGTATTACAAAAATTGTAAGTAAAAGCCAGGCAAGGTGTGTTAGATTATCTTTTGTTTTGCTTATGAATTTTTCCTTTGCTGGAGGAAGGTTTATTCCTGTTTTTTGTAACTTTGAAACTAAGCCTAGAGGAAGTTCTGTTGTGTTTTTGAATCTTTTGTTACCCTGTAAAGTTATTTTCCATCCTGATTCTACAGAGGTGATTTTTACCTTTTTTTTAAATAAAATCCTTCTTTTAAAGAACCTGACTGATTTCTCTATTGTCCTAAGACCCAGGGGTTTGGGTCTGTGATCACTTTGTAACCAATTGGTTAGGATATTATTCTCAAGACTCCCCAGGAAATGGGGTATAAGGGCTTGGGGGGATATTTTGGGGGAATAGGAACTCCAAGTGGTCCTTCTCCTGATTCTTTGTTAAATCACTTGGTGGTGGCACCGCAGTGGGATCATTTTGAACCAAAAGCACAGTAGGATTTTAAAAGGACAATTTTTTTTTTCCTTCTGGCTGCTTGGAAAGCAGGGAGGGGTTTTTTTTTAGGATTTTTTTATTTTTAAGCTGTGAGAGGCTGGAGTTTTCTTTCTCTGCCTGAGGACAGGGTAGTTAACCTCCTGCAGGGAAATTCACACGCGTTTTTTTTTTTCTTTCTAGCTCCCGGGTAGGCTAGATTAAACACAGAAAGGCTAGGATGACTGATGGTGATGTCCAAAAGAAATCAGAATTAGCCAGATTTGAAGCTGATGAGAAACAAAAAGAACATGATAGACGGATGGAGGCAGAAAAAGCTGCCCATGAGAGAGCTATGGAGGCCCAGCAGCATGCTTCGGAGGAGAGGGAAAGAGAGAGGAAGCATGAACTGGAGTTAGAGACAAAACGCTTAGAGATAGAAAGGGCTAAGCAGAATATACCAGACAACCCTAGCAATCCTTCTCCAGGTATCACTTCCCATCCCAGAAAATTCCTCACCTACAAGGTAGGCGATGATACAGAGGCCTTCTTAGAAAATTTCGAAAGGGCCTGCCTTGGGTACAGCATCTCTACAGACAAGTACATGGTGGAGCTGAGGCTGCAGCTCAGTGGACCCTTAGCAGAGGTGGCGGCTAAAATGCCTAAGGAACACATGAACAGTTATGAACTTTTTTAAAAACAAGCCCGAATCAGACTGGGGCTAACACCTGAGCATGCCCGTCAGCGGTTCAAAGCTCTAAAGTGGAAACCGGATGTGGCATTTTCCTGACATGCCTACCATATTGTGAAAAATTGGGATGCCTGGATATCAGGAGCATGCGTTAAATCTCTGGAAGATCTGTCTTTCCTAATGCAAATGGAGCAGTTCTTAGAGGGCATTCCTGAAGAAATAGAAAGGTACATCCTAGATGGGAAGCCCAAAATGGTAATCGAGACGGGGGAGATTGGACCCAAATGTGTTTAGGTGGCGGAAAAGAAAAAAAACTAGCAGCAGTTGGAGCAGCTATCAGAAGGGGCAACCCAAGACAACACCTTATCACCGGGGGCAGCCCAAGGCCCTACCTACATCCCAAGGAAAAACCCAAACACTCTGTCACCCCACACCAGTCTCCAGCAACCCACCTCACCCCAGTGACCAGTCAGCTGGGCGATGTTTTAAATGTAATGAGCTGGGGCATGTGAAGGCCAACTGCCCCAAGAAACCCAACAGACTGCAGTTCATTACACCAGAGTCACACCAAAGGTCCTCAGACTCAGATGCCTCCCAGGTACCCTCAGAGCAAAGGGAAACTGTGAGTGTGGGCGGGAAGAAGGTTATCGCATGAAGGGACACTGGAGCACAGGTGTCAGCTATCCACCAATCCTTAGTGGACCCCAAATTCATCAACCCAGAGGCCCAAGTGACGATTCAACCCTTCATGTCAAAATCTTTAAACTTTCCTACAGCTGAGTTGCCTGTCCAGTACAAGGGCTGGTCAGGAATGTGGACTTTTGCAGTCTATGATAATTATCCCATTCCCATGCTGCTGGGGGAAGACTTGGCCAACCATGTGAAGCTAGCCAAGAAGGTGGGAATGGTCACCCGCAGCCAGGCTAAGGGAGCTGTCACACCTAGCTCTGTTCCTGAGCCTTCAACAAGGGCCCAGTCTGTGTTATCAGAGACCAGACTGAGGTGGTGGAACCAGACCCCATGCCAATGTCTCCGACAGCAGTTGTGCAATTGGTTAGGATATTATTCTCAAGCCTCCCCAGGAAAGGGGGTGTAAGGGTTTGGGGGGATATTTTGGGGGAATAGGAACTCCAAGTGGTCCTTTCCCTGATTCTTTGTTAAATCACTTGGTGGTGGCAGCATACCGTCCCAGGGCAAAGAATTTGTGCCTTGGGGAAGTTTTAACCTAAGCTGGTAGAAATAAACTTAGGGGTTTTTTCATGCAGGTCCCCCCATCTGTACCCTAGATTTCAGAGTGGGGAGGGAACCCTGAAATGGTAGCAGAGGATGGTTTATAGGAGAAGGAGTTTTCTGACCTGATGCTTCTCTGCTTCCCAAGAGAACACACCAATACGAAGCCTTCCACCCACACCCCCAAGTTTGAAAGTATCTTCTTTCCCCATTGGTCCTTTTGGTCAGGTGCCAACCAGGTTATCTGAGCTTCTTGACCCCTTACAGGTAAGGAGGAATTCTAGGCTACCCTTAGCTGTATGGTTATGACACCCCACACAATGCACCTATCAAGATCCCTGTGTCCTACACATACCTATCACAACAACATGTGGTGTTCCTCATCCAGTGTACTAAATGCTCCAATAACAAGTACGTGGGCGAAACCGGACAGTCACTATGCTCTCAAATGAACTCACGCCGGAAAATGATTAAAGGTAAAAACACCATATAACGTCTGGGCGAACACTTTTCACAAAGTGATAACTTTGTCTGACCTATCAGTCCTCATCCTTAAAGGAAACTTGCACAACACTTTCAAAAAATAAGCCTGGGAGCTTAAATTCATAACTTTGATAGACACCTGAAAAACCATGATATTAATAAAGACATTGGATTTATGGCCTATTGCAACAATCCATAACTCAGCAATCCCCCTTTTATGACTACAGAGCTGTTAATGGCCCACTTCACCCTGAATGGTCCCTTAGAATGTATACTAACTACTTATACACCTCCACCCCAATATAACACGGCCCGATATAACGCGGGTTCGCATACAACGCGGTAAAGCTCTGACACGCTGCTCTGAGCAGCATGTTAAGGATGCCGGGCCAGGGATGAGGGGTTGGATAAGGGGCAGAGGGTCTCAAGGGTGGTCAGGGGCTCCCCCCCTGCAAAGGTCTGGGAGGCAGAAGCTGCAGGGGGCACTTTTGGGGGCCCCACAGTCGCAG